ACTTGATCAGAGCGCGCTCCCCTCTCCTGCAGGGGGGCGTGGTCAGCAGCAGCTCACAGAATCAGCCCCCTGCAAAAACAGGGCTGGAGCAAATAGAGCGAAATGAGGCATGGCTTAAAATCATGATCTGTTTGGTATTTTGAAAACAGAAACGTATAAATATACCTTATAGAGGTATGGCCCTACAATATATGATTTAAATATAGCATGATAGGTGTCCTTTAAGTACATGATCTGAGTACTTTGCCACCACTGAGGACTTGTAGAGTGAAGATGTGTAGCTCTGTCCCAAAGTGCTACAGTATTATCCTGAGCTCTTCTCTCGGTGTAATGCAAGACAGGACAGCGTTTATGTAAACAGGAAGTTGTCTTTGGGATCATACACTGAGTCACTCCCACCAAACACACTGAAGCTGTTGACCCAGCTGAAGGAAAGTAGCATTTATAGTTCACTAATGTTTCATAGATGTTTGACAATTAGTCCAAAAGAAATGGATCCAGGTTTACCTCTTACCTCCATACATAAGCAGTCCCTGGATCAGGAATATCTGAACTCCGTCCTGATGTCACTTCCTGTCTAGATGCTGTTTACTAGATTATGTAGATCTTCCATACATAAAAAAACTGCAGGAATATGTGTCACTATTTCACAGAGATCTAGCAGTGACAACAATACAGTTAGCAAGAGGGTTTTCCAGCATGGAATATTGTAACTGCTACAACACTGATATATCTTTTAGATATGTAGTACTCTTTAGAAGAAGTCATCTGACCAACCTATTGGCCACCAGGAAGACACAAGTTAGAACATCTGAATAATACACTGCAAGTACTAAATGAAGGGAGATTGTGTTTTAAAACTGACGAGGGTCTATCAAATTTACTAAAACAAAATTGCAACACCTACAACAAACACCACAGCCTTTGCTCCTTTTACGGTGCCACCTTTATGCTGCTTGTATTCTTTGGTGATGTACAGTATTTTCTATAGTAAATCCACATCCTGCTGAGGCAGTGCAACATGGTTTGACATGGACTCTTTCAGCCGGGTGCTTGGGTGGTACAGTTCAGGTCCCTGTGGAGTAAACAGCTTCCTCTGATCTCTGGAGCAGTGTATTTGATTAAATGTAACACACAAAATGGTGGCGCGGTCAGTTGTTTATACTTTCTCACACATAAGTGCGACATGGGATTTTGCTGGGAGAGCTCTGTGCACCCCCCCCCCCCTCAGCTGACCTCCCTGGCTGTGGTAATGAGGCAGAGCAGGCTTTGTACTGCTCCCAGAGGAGGAACAGCCATGCTGACTGAGAGCAAAACGCTAATACGTTGATGTGCCGACCTGCTTTTCCTGTTCACCTGAAGGTGCAGTGGTCTGTGGAGACGAGGAACACTTCTGAAGACATTTGGTAAAAATCAGAAGCAAATCTTATCTCAGACCTTTTCAAAGGTGTGAATTAAGGCCTCCTGTTTGGGTTCTGCTTGTTGGTGTTTGTCGTCACCTTCTGGTTAGAACCATCAACTGCCTTCGTAAATCTAATCTATTTTCCTAGAAGCTATTCCTGTGTTCTACCACAAAGGGGCAGCACATACACATTTTTTGCACTCTCAGCAGTATTTACATGAGGTGTTGGAACTCATCACACACAATTAAGGCTCATTCACAATAACTAAGAAGTTGTAATTCTAGCAATATCAAAGAAGAACTATTTTATAACAGTTCTTGTTAGAATGTCCTGATATGTTGATCATGTACCTCAGGCTCTGATGTTGTTTCTGTACTGGCAGCCGGTTCCAGGGTATGAAAACAATGCTGCTCACTTTGTTCACATCATAACATATTTCTGCAAGTAGTTAGCCAGGCTGCTCTGAAATGTGGTATTCATGGTCTCTAGAGGATGTTTCATGAGGGATATTGGGACATTTTGATTGGTCATATTACCATGGGATTTACTGAGCTCATTAATGGTCCCATGAGGATAAACCTGTGTCATTTTGGACACACTGTAAGGTTTCGTCTTGCACCACAACTAAGTTAACATGTAAAAATTGACAGTGCACAGAGGATATTCTGTAATTGAATAGACAGTTTCAATTAGCCTTTTGATTTTAGTAGCGCAATGACCTTTCGCATTGTGCCAAATTAACATCACAGCTTTGATTGGCCATTGGTTCAAATATGTTGGTTTGCCACAAGAATGTAACTCAGTGCAGCTTTTAGATGTAAGACAACATCAGAACATATGTCCGACAAAAAACAGAACGTGGACACTTTAGGTCAGTGGTTCCTAACCGGGGGTACGGGGACCCCTAAGGGTACTTGAAGGGATGCAGGGGGTAAGTAGAAAGATTAGGGATTGCAATATAAATCCCACACAAAAAACTATTTAAAATCAATTCTCATAAGCCTGGTGTCCTGCCCCCAGAACTATCAAAGCTTATGAAAGACAAGCAAGCTCAAGTTTGTCATTAAAAGCTCCAGTCTTAACAACAGATGTTGAAACAGCTAGAAGTGAGTCTTGAAACCCTCTCTCTCCTCTTTTTAATGGTCACACATGCAGAGCACACAGCACACACAGTGAAATTTGGCCTCTGCATTTAACCCATCCTAGTACAAGGAGTCTAGTACTAGGAGCAGTGGGCAGCTATTGTACAGCGCCCAGGGAGCAATGGGAGTGGGGGGGAAGGGGGGTGTCCGGTGCCTTGCTCAAGGGCACCACGGCAGGGCAGGAGGTGAACTGGGACCTCTCCAAGTAGAAGTCCACACTCCATATTTAGGTCTGGTCGGGGACTTGAACCAGCGACCCTACGGCTCCCAGTCCAAGCCCCTACTGACTGAGCCACTGCCGGACAATCTTAATATCATTGTTTTCACTGACAATGGTCAAGTTTAAATGCATTTGTATTAAGGGTGAGTTATACAAGGGATTTTCATTTAAAGAGCAGTTCGGTTGAATACGATTACAAAGGGTTTAATATAAGAAAAATATTTAGGCCAATCATCACAGATGAGTGAGGGGGTGCTTATAGAATGGCAACCAGCTCAAGGGGTTCACGAGACAAAAAAGGTTGGGAACCACTGCTTTAGGTCACAGTGTTCAAAGGGTCTCAGACTGTGTGTCTGTGATGCTCTCTGCCAGGGTAAACACCTGAGCTGAATACACTGAACTCACACACACTCTGCCCTGTTTTCCTAAGCCCTCTTTTCTCCTGCTTGTGAAAGAAGAAACATCACTTCTCACTTGTTGGTTACCCTCTTCAGCTGGAGAGCAAATACACTGTACAGCTTGCCTCCTTTTTCTGTCTGAAGGTTGAAGTCCAATTGTATTCTGTTCTTCATAATATTATATCAGAATTTCATGTAATTAAAACCCTCAAGATGCATTATAGATGTTGTCAATCAGAGTCCTCAGTTAATGATTTATTCATTGGACTTTGCTGGAAACATTAGATCAACATTAGGTCTGTGATAGAACTGGATTGTGTAACACTTCAAAGTAAGGAAAGCCCATTGACGGTGCCTCAGACATGGAGAGTGCACAACCCTGAGCTCCATTTACCTCTTTGTATTTGAATGTGTTTCTCCTTAAAAAAGCCAATTTATTAGTTTAGTGGATTATGGGAAAAAGCTAATCTATTGTTATTGGATTATTTTACCCATTTAAATGTGAAGCTCCTAAATGTGCATTTGTTAATGGTGGTAATATCAAAATTGTTTTGCTCCAACATTTTCAACCATGTAAGGCTACTTCTATTTATTGTTTTCCTCTGATAAATGTTGTAGTTCCTTCCTAAGCGTCTTTATTTAATTCATAAATAATAATTAAATGGATGTAAAGGGGTTCTACAAAATAAAGTGGAACATCTTTCATCTGTATATCCTGATGAAATAGGTGGAGCTCATAGCTAGCAAAGGACTGTAGCTGGCAAGCTAACTGGTAGCAATTTAACCAGTCAGTCAAAATATCTCTCCAAGCTAGAACGTGAGTTAGCTGCTAAAATGCTAGCAGTGGATGCCACAATGCAACCCAGTCTCACGGCATTTCGTGTTATAGTCACGAAATAAATGTAATCTATTGATTCGTGTTCACCAACACGATTTTCCCATTTTTTTTGTGTCACATAGAACGATTTTCAAAGCAATGTATTTCTATTGGTAGTGTGTTTCGTGCCTGCGTCTTTTTGTCGGGTCTTGGAAGACAGGTGTAGGTACCATATGTGTTGTTCATAAAAACATTTTCTTACTCAATATCAAGCCATGATTATTGTTTTTATTTTAAATTGTATAATGTCGGAAATGTTGTTGCCGTCCGCGAGGAAAAGAAATGGGGCTTAGCCTTTCCTTCTAATTTGTTATTATTTGGTGCAGGCATAAAACATACTACCAATAGAAATACATTGCTTCTAAAATCGTGTTGGTGAACACAAATCAATAGATTACATTTCGTGACTATAACACGAAATGCCGTGAGACTGGGTTGCACAATAGCCCATGCTACCAAGCAAGCTAGGTAGTTTGGTAACAGTCGGCTAAACTTTAGGTAAAGCTGCACATTTCTCCTCAAAGTAAGTAGCCTGTAGCTATAGCAAAACCACACTGTACAGTAGCTATGGAAAGAAGCAAGCTAGTGTTGAAGTGAAGTCCACCCAACTAGAAGATCCTTTACTGCAGATCTGTCCGATTTAGATGGATGCATTGATATTACATTTGTAGCTGGAATGAAATTACCATAATAATTGTTTTAGAAACTCAAAAAGTGATATAAAAATACATCTTGTGTTTGTAGACATTTTAATTGACAAGAATATTCCCTCATTTGATGATTTGATGATAGTGGTGCAGACCGTTGTCACACATTGGTCCAAGATATCCCATAGTTCTACTGGGTTGATGGTGACTCCGAACACCATAGCATATGATTCATTTATATACATGTTACGCAGACCGTCCATGTTGTGTGCTTCAGATCAAGGGTGGTGTGTGACTGTGTGTCTCTGTGCAGAAGATGCTGGGACGTACTTCCCCAGTATGAAGAGGGACCCGGGCCGGTACCTGCAGCCCTGCTCGGACTCCGTCAAGACCTGGCTGCGCAGCATGAAGAGCGCCGGGAAGGTCCTCCTCCTCATCACCAGCTCCCACAGTGACTACTGCAGGCTGATCTGTGAACACATCCTGGGGTAAGACTGCTAACCATAACACCCCCTCAGGATTTATGACCTGAAGCCTGCTCAGTCCAAGCTGGTACTTTCCCTCAGCTCACAACATTCCTCACAGCTCCCTCAGAACATGTGTCAGTCATTGCTTCAGTCACGCCGTCATCATGGCACTATATGCAACACTCGCATATCTTCCAATAGCCAAGTCTGCACATTAGGTCATTTCAGTTTATATTTCTTCTTTTGTCTGTTAAAAGTATATACATTCTTCAAAAAGGCTTGTTCATCACTCAAACATTAATTCTGAAGACTATGCTATCAGCAATGTCATATTTGACAACTCAAAATCCAAAAATGGTTGCATGTAAGGTCACAGTGAAAATATATTAGATCAAAAAAAGAAAGGAAAACTAAAATATCAAATGCAAGTTAATTTAATTTATTTAATCTTTTGTGTCTTTTTGCCTCTGTTAAGTTTTGTACTGTTGTTTTAGGACAATAGTGTGTTAACTCCACACAAAGTTCACATAAGTTCCTTCTTGACTTTGGCAATAGGAGTTTCACAACATTTTCTTTATTACTTACTAGCTTATACATATAGTGGATTTTAACTTTGAAGTTAGCTAGTTTAAAGCTCCAAGAAGCTATTATGTTACTTACAGTATTAAGGGTCTCACATTAAAATACATTAGTTTCACGAGTCAAATCTTAGTTGGCAAGGCGTGAGATCCCTGGAGTCTGTACGCTCACCATTTCTCACCAGTGCACAATGAACACTCAGCACTTTATTTGATAATTGTAGGTGTGCAGCAGAAGGGGTTATGGTTTGCAGAGGAACACTGGCTCTGTGCTCCACTCCCTCTGTGGGCCCTGCACACTGTGGTTTATTCTGGCAGCCTAAGCCCTGTTACACACTCAATCAAGCTGCGAGAGAGCCTTGAAAACACAGAGTATGTGTTGCTGCTGCGCTCTAACAAACACAAGCCCCGCTCTTTGCTAGGTGTTGTCATCCACACTGCTCCCCTGGTGGTCTGCTTGCTCACTTTAATGCTAACAGCTGATCTGTAGTCCAGCAGAGGCAGAAAGCATGTGGAGGCAAAGACGTTCTGTTTGGCAATAACTTATTTGCATAACCAGCTTGAAATACACCCTTCCTATTTCCCCTTATTGTGATGGAAACTTCTGAAGCAATGGAGACGAAACTCAGAGAGACACTGGGAGAGCAGAGGCCTGTACTACGAAGCTGGATTTTCTCTTAGCGGCTAAATTCAGGGAAATCTCGGGCTTTCCGGTCCTACGACGCTGGTTCTCTTTTTAGCAGGCTAGATTTCCATGGTAACTTATGCTGAGCGGCAAACCTGCTCCGGAGCAGGTTAGGTGGCAGGCTAAGAGATCAACTCAGTGAAAGCACTGCCTGCTGACCAATCAGAGCTCCGTGTGCGGAGTTTAAAGCTATCAAGTCATATTACAGGATAGAGGAAATACAGAAAAACTGCCGTTGCAGGAAAGACAGCCGGCAAAAATCAACTGACTGTGTGAACGTGAAAATTAATAGAATATCACCTCCCATCTTCAGAGCAATCTGACTATTATAACATTAGCGTTAAGAAAGCTTACTTAAATATCTGCCACGACATAAGTAACCGGATCAGAGTAACATTACGTACAGTCCGCGGCACTGTGAGTGCAGACGTCGATGTGTCCCATTATCATTCATATCATATCACATCATAATGTATCATATATTTCCTTATCTGAGTCAGCTTCTTGAGCCGTATCTGGCCGTGCAACACTCAGTGTCACATACTGTATGCAGAAGTATTATTTTAAGCAACACATTAAGTTGACGAAACACTCGAGTCAAATTCTCCTAATTCATGTCAGATCCACTCGTGTCTTGGACGGGGCAGTGATTTCATAAACCTGTTAATGTACGCATTCAAACACTTTTTCTTTTACCAGCTGTATTCACCTTGCAGGTGCAGCTATGTGGCTTTTATCCTGGATAAAGTGTTTAAGTCATGGATGTTTAAAGTTTAACTTCTTCATATTTGACTAATATTAAAGTTCACTTTTCATTCAGGAAGTATGACGCTGCGCTGTCAGTACGCTTGTCCGTGTTTGTGATTGGTCGAATGCTCCAAATACCACCCCTTTCATGTGAACGCGCACCTAACTAGATAGGACACGGCTGGCTTGAGCGATCCACTTGATAACCGGCGTCGTAGTACAGTTTAGCGCCAGCGCGTATGTTTTGGCTTAGGCCAACCGGCTAACTCCAACATATCCAGGTTAGGTTGAACCAGCTTCGTAGTACAGGCCTCAGGAGCTTTGATGGCAAACACTGATGGTGTATTTGGAGCTTCTGTTTTAAGGAATGAGCTGCAACACTTTCTGTAAAATAATAAAGTAAACCCTCTGGAGAGCTGTGATGGAGGCTGTTTTTAATTAAAGCATATTCAAGTATCAAGAATAATTTAGCTACATTTGATTGATTTTGCTAACTGATAATCTAACATGTGAGGCAACATACCTCACCTCTAGTGAGGGGCCCAGCCCTTCGTATGTTTTTCTGTTTCTGGCCCTCAGTGAAAGAGTTTGGCATCCAGCATCCTGGTCCTTCCTGTTGTTCCCCGGTCCTTTCCCTGGCTCCCCTGCTGTTTCTCTGGTTCGCCCCGCCCTCTTCTGGTTCTCTGACCTCCACCAGGCAGCATGTGTCGCCTCTCAACCACAGCAGTCAGAGCCCCAGCTGTGAATGAGTGTGGGGGCTCTAAATCATGAAGTCAGGTCAGGTTCACTGCCAGAGGATCTTGGTGGAGGAGTCTGCTGTGGTCTGCCTCCTGCATTTCCAACGCAAACCATAACCTCCAGAACTGTCACACTCAGAACTAGCCCTGCACCACACCCCCCTTTAAACGTCAGGGGGCTCCAACCCACAGCACCTCACACTCGGGGGCCTTTCACTTCCTGCAACTCATTTACGTTGTCGTTATTTCTGTAACAGTATGGAGCTCAAAAGCTTTTTCTCTTGCGAGTACCTTTTATTTCCTGCTTTTTTACACATATTCTCTCCAGTATAGTGTTAGCTCTGAGTGTTAGCGATGCCTGCTAATGTAAACACAGACCATATTACGTCCAAAACACGTTGCGCATTGTTTCCGATAGCAACGTTTCTGATAGGGCCGTGGGCGCCAGCCCACATTTGAGTAATGTCGTCATGACCGCAGCAAATCTGGATCAGCTCCGTTGTACCTCCGTTTTTAGAGATGTGGGTAAGGAGGAAAAGAGAGAGGGTTGTATTTTCACTTTGTGAGTCTCCTTACACACCGGGGACACACATTTATGTATAAAAGACATCAAAAAGTGCATTTTGCTTAATAGGTGACCTTTAAGTCACAAAAGAGTCCAATTATTTAAATACTTTGCAAAAAGTAAATCAGAACTTTGTTTGTCTACAACAGGAACATTCTAATTGATGCAACAATATTATGTAGAAATGTCACATATATAAATATAATTATATACACACATAAGGCCTTTTTTCTGCACAGTGAGTACTATGACTTTTTATACTTGAAGTATGTTTAGCTGATAAGACTTTTGTACTTTTACTTTAGTAAGATTTTGAATGCAGGACTTTGACTTGTTATGAAGTATTTTGAAAATAATGTATTGGAACTTTTACTCAAGTAAAGCATTTGAAAACTTTTTCCATCACTGCCATTTATTACATCTGTGTATAAGTGTATATGCCCAAAACCCGCACTATATATGTATATGCTTCTAATCTGCACCATATCCAAAGATAAGTATTCATATTTAGACATTATGTCCATTACTACAACATTCTACTGTTATGTGAATGTATTGAAACCTCAGGCACTTCACTACTCTTTGCACTTTCTAGTTGGATGCAAACTGCATTTCATTGTACACGTGCTATGACAAAAAAGTTGAATCTAATCTAGTGTCCTTCTTCTGAGAAGCTCTTAGAATTCAGGCAGCAAAGGACCACAAACGTGTTGTTTGTTGTGTCTCATTTTGTCAGCACTTAACTGTTGCATCAGGATACAGCCCGTCCTGCCCCCCCGGCCTCCATCCGCTGTGGGGCTGAGTCGCTGTCAGGGGGCTACAGGCCAGGGACAGGGGGCTGTCAGGGGGCTACAGGCCAGGGACAGGGGGCTGTCAGGGGGCTACAGGCCAGGGACAGGGGGCTGTCAGGGGGCTACAGGCCAGGGACAGGGGGCTGTCAGGGGGCTACAGGCCAGGGACAGTGGGCTGTCAGAAGTAGCACAACACGGCTGCTGGCCCACAGCCAACACTGTACAGCTGCTGCTGTTCTGTATCAGACAGCTACTGCTTCTTGTTAGGGAATCATTTGCTTAGGTATTCAACCTTTGACACAGTTCATCATGTTCTCCTTCCCCATGGCATAGGTCTACAGCATGGGTATTGCTGCTATCTCTCTTAAGGAGGAGCATCTTGGGCGCATTGTTGTTGCCAGTCTATGACAGAGCACAAGCTCTGTCATAGACTGGCGCACATTATTTTCTATGGACGAGAGCTCTAGTTACATTCAGGGTCCATAATTGTTTAGTCTCACTGATAAAGAATGTTGATTATTACACTGCGAACTAGTTAAAACCTCGAGCTGCAGAAGAGTTCTTCAGAATTGGTTTGGCAACCGCTGTGTCAACTCGTGACACACCACCTGTTTTGTCAATTCTCCGGCCGTAACTCCAATTAAATCATCAGTGTTTGCTATCAAAGCTCCAGCTCTCCTGGAGAGAGAGTCCTGACTCTCCATTGCCACAGAAGTTTCCCCCACACTTCTCACTTTATAGATGTGTCAGTTGTTGTGTAGACCTCTGATGTGTTGAACATCTCCTTTTCTGACTTATATAAAGATACAAAAAAAGCTTTGGTTTACCCTGAATAGTTTTGCTTTCTTTAATGAATGAAACTTCATCTGTATTGTACAGCCCCTTGAGAGGAAGTCTTTCTGAATGTCAGCTGTGCTAAGACCTACCTTAAAGGTCCCCTATGATGCAAACAGAGGGGTATGAGGCATGCTCCAATGGATGGTCTGTTTGGTACTTTGAGCAAAACACTTCAAAGACATGTTTTGTATAGATATGGACCTATTGTTCTAATATAGCATAATAGGTGAGCTTTAAGAACAAAATGCACATTTTAAAAACCTGAACAGAACATGTGTTTTTTGTCTCATTTGATTGTATTCTGTTTAGAAGGAGTACTCTCGCACTGAAGGGGTTTAGAGTGCTAATGATTTAAAAGCAATGGTTCTGACTTTAGTCTCTTTTAAACTATAGTCTTTATAATAGGCATAAATGCACATGTATTCATGTTGACTATGCCTACAGTACAGTAGTATACAGTTATGCTATGATTTGTACATTTTGTGGTGCCTGGCTATTTAAATACTTTAAACGCTTTACAATTTGTTAATGTATCAGTAGTTTAGGCGGTATACATAACATCCATCAAACAAACAGAGGGTGAAATGTAGCTTCACTGCATGCACAAACATATTTTCATGCATCAAACTGATTGAGCGGTTTACATATCCTTCCTGTTTCATAATGCTTTCTAACCATATATGGAAGATTATATCAATATTATCCTTAGTGCACATACTAGCTCATAGTCCTTACTGTGCTGAGGGTCTCTTTGGAGAGCCCTCAGCATGCTCACTTCCTGTTTGTAGCTCTGTGGGAGTGTTTCATGTATTGATGTACTGTAAGTATTCCCTCCATGTGTACACTGTTGATTGCTCCATGTTTTCCGTCAAGTGTACACAGGGTTGGGAGGGTTACTATAACCAATTAGAATTGACTAGTTACCTGTAAAAATGCAATCAGTAACCCAATCTGAGTAGCAAAATATAAAAGTGATGTAATCTGATTACTTTCCGTAACTTTTGGATTACCTCAACATCAAAAGCAATGCAAGTAAATAAAAGACAAAATAAATATAAATAAGATGTGTTGTACTTCAGTGCATTATGTAAGACAACAGAACAATGTGACCTTAGAAAATAAGACACCAAGATATTTGGGATCAAAAAAGTGTCCTCTTAAATTCAGGCTAGACCTAGAGAATGGTGGCGCTTACAAAAAGTGTGTTAGTTTAATATATGAATAAAAAGCCAAGAGTATTTTTGTTTTAACGGTGCCCTATTGTGCAAAATCCACTTTTTCATGTCTTTTCACATCAACATGTGTCCCCCCCTCTGTGTAAAGAGACTGGGAACGTTTCAGGAACAAAGATTCTCTCTCTTTTTGTCCTGATCCATTTATATAAAAACCTTTCTGAGCTGATCAGATTCGACCACTTTATGATGTCACTTTATGATTTAGCCAATCACCAACCAAGGTAACCCTTGCTGTTGCAGGAAGGACTTCGAGGAGCTGTTTGAGGTCATCATCACCAACGCTCTCAAGCCAGGCTTCTTCTCCTTGGTGCCCGAGCAGAGGCCCTTCAGGACCCTTGGTGAGTACCGGCCTGCTGCGTACATTTCATTATGTTCCTTTGATGAATCGTTATGTTTCTTAAATGTTAACTAATAGCTAATACAAATCACAAGTTCCAAGAACCCCACATGACCTGATGATGGGAACTTTCTTTAAGTGGAGAATGTCACAGTTGAAACGCGTCAGAAGTCATAGTTTCAAAATGGTGTGAACACTTGCTTCCTGCCTAAGAGTGGGCTGGATAAAAGTTCAAAAGAAAAGTCTTCAGCCTGAATTTAAAAGTAGTAAGAGTTGTAGCGGACCTGCAGGTTTCTGGCAGATGGTTCCAGATGTTTGGAGCATAATAACTGAACCCTGCTTCTGCTTTCTGGGAAAGCCAGTGTAAAGACTTCAGAACAGGACTGATCCACTTTCTTAGTGTCAGTGAGGAACCAGTGTAAAGACTTCAGAACAGGACTGATCCACTTTCTTAGTGTCAGTGAGGAACCAGTGTAAAGACTTCAGAACAGGACTGATCCACTTTCTTAGTGTCAGTGAGGAACCAGTGTAAAGACTTCAGAACAGGACTGATCCACTTTCTTAGTGTCAGTGAGGAACCAGTGTAAAGACTTCAGAACAGGACTGATCCACTTTCTTAGTGTCAGTGAGGAACCAGTGTAAAGACTTCAGAACTGGACTGATCCACTTTCTTAGTGTTAGTGAGGAACCAGTGTAAAGACTTCAGAACAGGACTGATCCACTTTCTTAGTGTCAGTGAGGAACCAGTGTAAAGACTTCAGAACTGGACTGATCCACTTTCTTAGTGTTAGTGAGGAACCAGTGTAAAGACTTCAGAACAGGACTGATGTGATGTGATCCACTTTCTTAGTGTTAGTGAGGAACCAGTGTAAAGACCTCAGAACAGGACTGATCCACTTTCTCAGTGTTAGTGAGGAACCAGTGTAAAGACTTCAGAACTGGACTGATCCACTTTCTTAGTGTTAGTGAGGAACCAGTGTAAAGACTTCAGAACAGTGATGTGATGTGATCCACTTTCTTAGTGTCAGTGAGGAACCAGTGTAAAGACTTCAGAACAGTGATGTGATGTGATCCACTTTCTTAGTGTTAGTGAGGAACCAGTGTAAAGACTTCAGAACTGGACTGATCCACTTTCTTAGTGTCAGTGAGGAACCAGTGTAAAGACTTCAGAACTGGACTGACCCACTTTCTTAGTGTCAGTGAGGAACCAGTGTAAAGACTTCAGAACTGGACTGATCCACTTTCTCAGTGTTAGTGAGGAACCAGTGTAAAGACTTCAGAACTGGACTGATCCACTTTCTCAGTGTTAGTGAGGAACCAGTGTAAAGACTTCAGAACTGGACTGATCCACTTTCTTAGTGTTAGTGAGGAACCAGTGTAAAGACTTCAGAACTGGACTGATCCACTTTCTCAGTGTTAGTGAGGAACCAGTGTAAAGACTTCAGAACTGGACTGATCCACTTTCTCAGTGTTAGTGAGGAACCAGTGTAAAGACTTCAGAACTGGACTGATCCACTTTCTTATGCCCCTTTCACACCAACGCAACTCCGGTTCAAGCTCCGTGCTAGAGCTTTTCTGGTTCAGAACCGGTTCTTCGGTTTAGCGCCGGCTCTTTTCACACCGCTCAGAGCCCGACTGGTGCTGCCGCTGCTGCGTCATGACGTCACAGTTTACGTCGCTGAGTTTCTCCCCAACGCCGGAGCTCACCTCACAATAACAACGGGCCGGGGACTGCGCTGCTTTTAATCATACGAAGCCAGATTAAATTAAATAACGACTTCTCCAACCTTATACTTTTCTCCAGAGTGCCGTGGTTCATTGTTTATTAATGTGTTTCAGCGGCATTTACCGACCGCTGCAGTGCTGGCCGGCTGCTCTTCCACGAGTGTATTCTCCCGTTAGCTCCGGGTTAGCTCACACGGCTCTAAAGTATTCACTGTCTGACTGTCACACAAGCAGCTGATACATATCCCCAGTTCCCCTTAAGTGAATGTGTGTCAGTCTGAATTGACGCTGTTTGGTGTCAGTCTGAATTGACGCTGTTTGGCATCACAACGCTGTTATGAAAGTTTCTCTGGTATAACATGGGTGATGTTAGCATAGCAACCGAAGCTAAACTGACTACTTGCTAAGCAGTTTTCTACAGGCACTTTTTACCGACGTATTTTTCATTATGATTCTACTTGTGATAGTCGGACATGACAACCTGTGCAGCCCATGTATTGATTCCATCCGATAGCTGCTATAATAACAAACAAAACGTCTGCCTGCTCTCCACAATGATCAATAACAGCGAACGGATGGTCAAAGTAAGGTACAAATAAACAGAATCACATGAAGCCTGGTTAGTGTTGCCTGACTTTATAAAGTGTGTTTTTTTTAACAAGTGTGTGGTTGCGTTCTAGTCACTTTGCTCAGCACTACTGTTTGTTACAACTTTTATTTGCCGTACTCGCCTTAAGTGTTAGCTCAGGTTAATCTCGCCCCCCTCCGACGTAAGCGTGACGTATGCGGTTCTTGCTTCTAGACGGACAACTTTTTGGTGCTCGAAACGAACCGGATTCCGGAGCTATGACGCTGCTCCGCTGCGGTGTGAACAGGAAAACCCGGTGCTTTTCAAGCACCAGCACCGAACCGGCCTTGAAACACCGTTGGTGTGAAAGGGGTATTAGTGTTAGTGAGGAACCAGTGTAAAGACTTCAGAACAGGACTGATCCACTTTCTCAGTGTTAGTGAGGAACCAGTGTAAAGACTTCAGAACAGGACTGATCCACTTTCTCAGTGTTAGTGAGGAACCAGTGTAAAGACTTCAGAACTGGACTGATCCACTTTCTCAGTGTTAGTGAGGAACCAGTGTAAAGACTTCAGAACTGGACTGATCCACTTTCTCAGTGTTAGTGAGGAACTAGTGTAAAGACTTCAGAACAGGACTGATCCACTTTCTTAGTGTTAGTGAGGAACCAGTGTAAAGACTTCAGAACTGGACTGATCCACTTTCTTAGTGTTAGTGAGGAACCAGTGTAAAGACTTCAGAACAGGACTGATCCACTTTCTTAGTGTTAGTGAGGAACCAGTGTAAAGACTTCAGAACAGGACTGATGTGATGTGATCCACTTTCTCAGTGTTAGTGAGGAACCAGTGTAAAGACTTCAGAACTGGACTGATCCACTTTCTTAGTGTTAGTGAGGAACCAGTGTAAAGACTTCAGAACTGGACTGATCCACTTTCTTAGTGTTAGTGAGGAACCAGTGTAAAGACTTCAGAACAGGAGTGATGTGATCCACTTTCTTAGTGTCAGTGAGGAACCAGTGTAAAGACTTCAGAACTGGACTGATCCACTTTCTCAGTGTTAGTGAGGAACCAGTGTAAAGACTTCAGAACTGGACTGATCCACTTTCTCAGTGTTAGTGAGGAACTAGTGTAAAGACTTCAGAACAGGACTGATCCACTTTCTTAGTGTTAGTGAGGAACCAGTGTAAAGACTTCAGAACTGGACTGATCCACTTTCTTAGTGTTAGTGAGGAACCAGTGTAAAGACTTCAGAACAGGACTGATCCACTTTCTTAGTGTTAGTGAGGAACCAGTGTAAAGACTTCAGAACAGGACTGATGTGATGTGATCCACTTTCTCAGTGTTAGTGAGGAACCAGTGTAAAGACTTCAGAACTGGACTGATCCACTTTCTTAGTGTTAGTGAGGAACCAGTGTAAAGACTTCAGAACTGGACTGATCCACTTTCTTAGTGTTAGTGAGGAACCAGTGTAAAGACTTCAGAACAGGACTGATGTGATGTGATCCACTTTCTCAGTGTTAGTGAGGAACCAGTGTAAAGACTTCAGAACTGGACTGATCCACTTTCTTAGTGTCAGTGAGGACTTGAGCAGCGGCGTTCTGAATTAGCTGCAGCTTTCTAATAGATGTTTTAGTGAGACCTGTAAAGACACCTTTACAGTAGTCCAGTCTACTGAAGATAAAAGCATGGACAAGTTTTTCCAAATCCTGCTGTGACATTAGTCTTTTAATCCTAGATATGTTCTTTAGGTGATAGTAGGCTGATTTAGTAACTGTTTTAATGTGACTGTTGAAACTCAGGTCAGAGTCCATTACTACACCTAGATTTCTGGCTCTATCTGTTGTTTTGAACATTGCAGACTGAAGCTCAGCGCTAACTTTGATACGTTCTGCCTTGGCTCCAAAAACCATTAGCTCAGTTTTATCTTTGTTTAAGTGGAGAAAGTTCTGACACATCCAGTCATTGATTTGTTCAATGCACACACGCCAAACACAGATCAGATCTCATATATTCCTAAGTATAGGGAATCAGTCCAGCTGTCATCTCTGAGGATTTCAAAGAGCTGCTAGTTGTGTTAGTCAGATTCATATCATTTACCCACAATTCCTCAAGAGTCCACATCCCTCCTCCCTGCCTGTGATCTGACGCTCAGGTAGAAGCAGTGCAGTGGCAGGGCAGCCTGTTGGAAGGCTCCCTTCATTTTGACTGTCTTCCTGCCAGCAATAACAGTGGGGATGCATTATGTGTGAAGACAGGATGATCCACTCAGGGAAATATGTTCTCTCCCTCCCCTCTCCCTCGCCCTTTCTCTCCCTGAGTTCTGCCACGTTGGAAAAAAAATCTGCCTTTGTTCGTCCTCTGGCCTCCTCACAAACTGGCTTCTCCTTTTCAGTTGGGACATCTCTTATTATTCTGCACTCTTAACTGTTTTTTTATTGATTAGCTAATCAAGTTTATTACGTGTGACCAGTGTATGACACATCAAGTGTGTGACTTGAGGACAGATGATTAAACATGTTCCAATCATTTTGTTAATCAGCTCATAAATGATTAGAGCGGGTTTCCTCCCACAGTCCAAACACATTAGGTCAGGTGAATAGGTGACTAATCTACCTGTGTGTTATTCCTGTAATACACTGGCTCAATGCATCCTGGGAAAAAGACTCCTACATCCAGATCCACATCAGCAGCTACAGTATATCGAATAGATATGTGGATATGTGGTCCTACCCATGGAAAAGTGGCACCTTTACTCATTATAATGACTTTTAACATAATTAATTATTATAATTGGTCTGTATATTTAATTAAGTAATGGTTTAAAATATCCATAAAAATACTCTTTAAAAAATAAAAAGACTCAAAACACTAAACTAACGTTCTTTCAGAACGGTTCAAGGTTCCTGAGAACAGACACTTTAGGTGTTAAAGGTTTTAAGCTTAAAAAGTGTGGGTCATATCTGTCACGGATGGGCTACAGTCAAACACATAGAATACACATGAGGCAGCACCCCATCTCTACGGCTGTTCACAGATAATGACACTGCATCTGTAGAGACCCTAATATGGTGACACTGCATCTGTAGAGACCCTAACATGGTGACACTGCATCTGTAGAGACCCTAACATGGTGACACTGCATCTGTAGAGACCCTAACATGGTGACACTGCATCTGTAGAGACTCTAACATGGTGACACTGCATCTGTAGAGACCCTAACATGGTGACACTACATCTGTAGAGACCCTAACATGGTGACACTGCATCTGTAGAGACCCTAACATGGTGACACTGCATCTGTAGAGACCCTAACATGGTGACACTGCATCTGTAGAGACTCTAATATGATGACACTGCATCTGTAGAGACCCTAACATGGTGACACTACATCTGTAGAGACCCTAACATGGTGACACTGCATCTGTAGAGACCCTAACATGGTGACACTGTACATAATAAGCAGCTATTTAAATGCCCAAACAGTAACACCACACTGACAAAACTGAAACCGGCACCTTCTGACAGGCCCTACACTGCTTCACATGGTAAAGCAATGATGTGAGGAAACAAAGACACTATGTTTATACACCTTTTCTATTGTGTTAATCATCACAATCCCAGAGATGTAACACTAGAGAAGTGCTGACCCCAGGTTGAGAACCACTGCTTTCCTGGCTTACAGTCTTCAAATTCACACTGCTGTTCTGCTGGAAGCTGGGTTCTGTGGTGACGTGTGCTGTGGTGGGGTGGTGCTGGGTGCTGTGGTGGGGTGGCGGGGTGGGATGGGGTGCAGGCGGAGTCCAGGCTGTGTGGTCATGTAGCAGCTGGCTGTGGCTCTAACTGTGGTGTCTGGTTCTCTCTCCCAGTGAACGATGTGGAGGAGAGCGAGGGGCTGCCGTCGCTGGATAAACCCGGCTGGTACTCCCAGGGAAACTGGCCGCACCTCCACGAGCTGCTGAAGACCATGACGGGCAAACCTGAGCCCAAGGTAGGCTGCACCCCCCCCCCCCCTCCCGTCTGTAGCAGGAGAGCAGCCAGATCTCGGACTGAACAACATCCCAGGCTCGCTTTGAGGTTGACTCCAACTCTGGTTTTTGGCAGAGGCTGAAAGAGATGAGGGCTTCACGATAAATCAGTTCAGGAGGATTCACACGGGGGTGATGGAGGGGGGGAACGTGGCCCTTGGCAGGACTGCTGACAGGCCCGCTGCCTGCCAGCATGCTGGGAGTGCACTGATGGAACCACTCCCCCATACTTCTTACAAAGCAGCCCATTCTTAGGGACAAAAAGATGTATTTCTTAGCAGGTATGGTAGATAACTTAGATTTCTAAAAGCTTTGCTAAATGTACATTATATACCATGTTATTCCTACTTCCAGACAAATAATAATAACAATAATCGTAATAAAGCTTTATTTGTATAGCGCTATTCTTACACCAGGTGCAGCTCAAAGTGTGTTAACAATAAGGCACACAAATTAAAACAAAAAATAAGGAATTCACTTCAGGTCCAACGTTAAAACCTTTCTTCACACATGCAGCAGAACAACATAATAATACACTATAAGCCTTATAGTGTATTATTATGTTGTGTATAGTATAAGGGACACAGTCAGTCAAGGTATGATCATGTAAAGAAGATATACAATATAATACATATTGATCCCTCTCTGTAAAATAAAGATAGACACAATACAAACTGAATAAATACAACAAAATACTAAAACCTAAATATAAATAAAACAACAATAATAAAAATAACAATTATAATTTAAGAAATAAATAAATACTAAGAATAATAAAAAGGTTTAAAAATGGATATCGCTAATAAAACAAAAAAATAATTAACAACCTATAAAACCTATAGAATGAATAAATCAGTTAAACAATATAGAAATAAATAATATGAATAATAAAGATTAAAATAATTAAAAAAACGCAAATGAATCACATTAACAATTTTGACCCCACCTTCCTCCCGTAGTTCCAGCACGGATGTATACATAGATTGCATGGCAAGACAAAGAAGCAGGGAAACTAACTTTGACCACTGGACATCAGACAGAACCATCCCTACAAGTTACTCAGGAGACAGCAGGGTCTCCACTTTGGTCAGATGGAGCTGCAGTATGATATGATGAGAGAATATGCTCTGTGTAGCACACACTATACAGAGGGGAATCACAGCGGCTCTCTGGGACAGCCGCTCGGTGGATACTTTCGGAAAGTTGTTGGACTTCAGAAATCAGGTTATAATAAAGTAAAAAAAACCTCTGATTTCTCTTAACAGTTTGTCATGCATTTCTTTAAAACAAGACTACACATTCATGTGTTCTATTTCCCCCAAAATACAAATAAATAGTAATTTAACTTTATCATGATTAATTACAGATAATTATTGCGATTACAGCAATTACATTTTTTCATCAATTGACAGCACTAATGAATAATTAATTACATATAAAAATACCAAATTGTGTCTGTTAAATCATGTGAGTTCAGATTTGTAATATGTTTCATTAAGCATACAGTCTGGTCCCAGCAATGACATCATGTCTGACTTTAAGCTAAGGTCAGCCCTCAGTGAGCGATACACATGAGTTAGTTCTAGTTCCTGTCAGAGGCACAATGCTCATTATATATTAAAAATACAAAACTGAGTCACGGCAAGGCAACCAGCGTTTATTACAGCAATTTCTTTATGGTGATTAATGATTATGATGATTATTTTCCGGGGGCATATTATGCTTGTTGTAGATGGCAGTGTTAAAGAGATGACATGAAATGAGGGCGCTAGATGAATCCACACACAATGTGCGCTGTTAGAAAGACTCCATGTTGTTCAATATCGAGGGTACTGAGCCGTAGAGAGACTCACACGCAGGAAGCTGTCACCATCACACCCATAGAACCCTCTGGAAAAAAGATTGTTTGTAGTCAGAGGAAGATGATAGAAAAGATTATTTCCCAACTTCCCAAAAGCAATTTCTTTTTTTCAAGTCTGAGCAGGAGCAAAGGATATGGTTACTCTGATGAATTTGTAATTTCCTGAAATGTTGAAACAATGCATCAGAACTGTCCATGTTCACTCCGTAAGTAGAAGAGGTACTTTCATACCTTCATTAATTAACAACGACACTTTATCTGAAAAATACACATTCAGTGCCATGTCTGTTCCAGTGGCAGGGACTGATTTCAGAGGAATGAAACGTACACTGAAAAAACTGAAAGGTTGACTTTAATTCAATGTATTATTCACATAACTGTATTAAGTTAGTTGAAAGCCATAATATTAAGCTGAACCTAAAATAAAATGTATTTAAACTAAAAAAGATTGCTTCCAACTAACCGGAAGGATGGTACAGATCATGCAGAGGGGAACCTAAGTTCACCTACAGCAGCACTCGTCAACACCCCTCCCCCCCCCCCCCCCCCCCCCTCCCCCACACACACACACACCCCCCCTCGGCTCAATGCCCCCTCTGTTCCCCGGCCTCGTGGAGAAAGCTCTTGAGGAATTCAGTGTCAACCTGCACTTAAAGCTGCTCTAACAGCGGGGTGACCTGAGGCCTCTGGTGAGCTCCCTCCACTTTCACCTGACTGCTGACTGCAGGTGAGAGGAGGCTTCAGGGAGATTACAGTCCCTCAGCACAGCACTGACACTGGTGGGGGGGCTGGTGGGGGGGCTGATTGGAGGCCATCACAGAGGCTGGTGCCCCACGGGAACGAAAACGGGTTGTATCCGCATATTTCTCTTGCGTATAGCCCTTTTTGCCACACGAGGCCGTAACTAAACGATAGAAACGGACCCCGCAAACGACAACGGGTCCAAAGGTGGACGGATCTGGGAACGGAGCGCTCTGGGGGGTCCAACGGCTCCGTGTGATCGCGTCTATACGATCATTTTGTGATAATGATGACGCAATAGCCCTGCCTCCCACCACCTCTGCTGCTCACCCCCGCGTCAAAGTAAACTGCACACTGAATTCAGATTATTTATCTTTATCTCGATATGGACATAAACGCGAGTGAAGTTACTCCCGCTGTGATGCAGCGGGAGGAGCAAAACACACACTTCAAGTCAGATCATCACCCTTAGCTATTTTAATTACCTCTCAAACTACCTAAACTAGTTATAAATATGTTTATTTTGTACTGCCGGGTCACTCATTACTGGATCAGCTGCTGCATGAGACAGACACTGACGCTGTCAGAAGAGAGGAAAAAGAGAGGCTCCGTGTATTTTATTATTATATATAGTCGTTATTCATTTCTTTTAAAGCTTAAAGGTGGGGTAGGTAAGTTTGAGAAACCGGCTCGAGTGCGCTAGAATTTGAAAATACACAACCGGAGAAAATCTGCCACTTCCTTACAGAGCCCCTCCTCCAACACACACGAACGCGCACATGACCAATGAGGGCACGAGATAAGTGTGTGCACAGATGGAAGGCTGACAGGCAGGTAGGCCACCCAGTTATTTTAGCCGGGCCGGCTAAAATGATTGGTCGTACTTTTTACAGTATTACGGCTTCCACAGATGACATTTTTTTATGGATTTTTTGTCAAAGCACTTAAGATATTCATTGCTATCGGGATGTTAAGAGCATTCCATGGAATATAGCAAAAAGTGTATCTCGAGCCGGTTTTTCAAACTTACCTACCCCACCTTTAATAAATAACAAAGAAGACCTTTGACCGGCACTTTTATAATTTTGTCCGGAAGATTTAAACTTTTACACACGTTGACCGGCGAAAAACTCTGCCCAGTTCCCTCGGCCCCAACCACGGTGAATAAACAGAAGGGGAACCATGACAACCATTCTTCTTCGCTGCTTTTTCTGGAGGAAGTTACAGCGCCACGTACAGGCTCGGCATATGTACTGCAGCTTTTTCCAGTGGTTGGAGCTAAACGGAGCTGTCTCTTGTGAACAGACACTATCCGGTGTATATTGCGTGTGGACGGAAGCCTTTTTTGCGATTGCGATTGCGTTAATCCTATGCGTTTTGCCGTATGCGTTCCCGTGGGGCACCAGCCAGAGAGTCAGGCCTGAACACAGCAGTGAGGATCAGTGTTGGGAAAATACTGAATGTACTCTTCCAATATCAGAGTAGCACATGATAACAAAGGCCCTACGTAGCTGTGTACGTAACAGGATGTAGGATTACCTCGAAGAGCATCAGGACACACTGTTTTAGGCATATGATAGCTATGTGACAACGATTAACATGATGATTCAGCCTCTATGGAGATAGACATATGACTGTCATGTTTATTGCTTACATGGGCCTTAGCTAATCTGAACTAAACATTGAATACTGCTTTGAACCGGTATTCCTCCATCTTGTGACTGTAACACTCTCTTGTATATCAGCATGTGAAGGACACTGTTCTGGGAACTATTTTTCCCATGCAACCTCTGTATGTGATGACTACTTCCATTCTTGCAAGGATAATAAATACATGTATCCTGATATTGAAGCTCAAGCCGGGGACGAGTGAGATCTTTCCTAACGATCAACCTGACTTTGATTACACTGAAAAACATGAAACTTTTATTAAATATATGATGTCTACAAATTTCACATAACTGTGAACGTTAGGTTAGTTGAAAGCAATAATATTAAGTTGAACCTTATATATATGAACTTAAATTATTGCTGATAAATAACCTAATACAGTAATGTGAAAACTGTTGACATAATACATTTATTAATTAAAGTCAATATTTCAGCACTCACAGAGGAGTTTGGATCAGGCCTTTCACAGTTTGTGAAATCACTTTAGCAAGGCAACAGAAAGGCTGGTGAGGTTTAGTTTAACAGGTTAAATATTTATGATAATTAGTTGCACTGTCCCAAGTTGGGGTTGAAATGGTAAACTGGTATTTGCGGTATGTCACAGTATTAAAATTGGCACTTTATATACCGTGTACATTTGCTTAGCTACGGAGACTTACAGCTGATGATATTTTACATTTAGTAGTTAAA